CTGCTTTCTTGCTTTCTAGCACCTTGGCCAGGGTCTTGCTGCTGTTGGCAGGCTGGAAGATGGTGACATTTATTGCTGCCTTTCTGATAGAGGATCTTCAACCGCCTGGTATTTCTGTGGTCATAGCTTGGGAAACCAGTCAGGTTCTCAACTGCTCCAGCAGTAGCCAAAGGGAGCTTTCTTCTCATTTGAATTTGGCCACAGTTTGTATTCAGCCTTTACTTTTCACTGTTTGTTCCCTGTTCCTGAGTCACATTTGCCTCATTTGAGGATTCGAATACGCCACATATGCCATATATATTTGAATATTTAGTCATTAACAGAGGTCTTTCCCTGTCATCATGGCAATAGATTTTCTAGCTCTGACATTTGGAGTGGGAGTTAGTTTTGAAGGTCCCCAGTAACCTGGCAGTTGTCTACATTAGAGGTTGCACTTTGTGTACTAGCTTGCAAGTGAAGTGCTAAAGTGAGAGCTCTTTTGATTTATAGAGATCTGTGAGGGTTTGTGGACCTAGAAAGATTCTTCCCACGACCAGAAGTAGGCTGAAAGCATTGGCTTTTGTAGCTTAAACTATCACCAGTAGTATTTGAGGAGATGGGTAATTTGAGGTGCTGGGTGTGTGACCCTGCTGGAAGGGAGGGGGTGCCCACACCTCGAGGTAGTCACTGACTTCTGCTATTTTGAGGCCAAAGACAGGAAATAAATAGCAGTGAATAAAACCATGCAACTAGAACCAAGCTTTCTGGTGCACCAGAAACAGTTTTAAAAACAGAAACAGTGCTTAGTGCTCAGCTATGAAGTAGTCTTTCCTTCCTTTTCAAGCCAGCACCCTCTATTCTTGAGTATGTGCTCAATTGCCAGCAGATGGGCAGACAGGCATCACACCCCTGGGACGTGCACCACTCTGCAGGAAATAACGCAGCCTTGTAAAGCTGGTGGGCAAGAGCACAGGCAAGAAGTTCATCCTGTGAGCCACCCATTCAGGGAAAAAGCCTGGCTGCATTTCCTTCTGTGAGCACTCAGTGCCCCTAAAGGGTACGGTCTGCCTTACTGAGCCTTGCCCTCAGACTCAGTTCCTCCTCCGGTTTCTACCTCAGCGCCAAACCAAACTCTCTATTTCCTCCTTCCCTAAAAGCCCCACAGAGAGCTGATTCTTCCCCAGGGAAAAGTTGTCACCCTGTCCTCCATATTAATGTAGTCACCAGATCTTAACATGCCTCTTAAAGGCATTTCCTCAGAAACACTTTCCCTTACAGACAAAATCTTCCTATTGTACTGGAATAGGATGATCTCTAAGGAAAAATATTACAGTTACTACTTGTTATGTGATTCTGTTAGGATCCTCACTGGGCAAAGGTTTGCACAAGGGAAAAAACTGCTCTGGAACAGCCTCAACCGAAGAGTTAATTCAGAAATGGGAAGGCTTGAACCAAGCAGAGAAGGCAGACACTGACCGTATGACAGAACTGCAGGACTGTCAATGGCTCTTCCACAACAGAGTTTTGATTTAGTATCAATTAGCCATCTCTGCCTACTACCAGAACAACCTAGAGTCTCCAATATTAAACTGGAGCATTTCCTATGAACTTTATCTAGACCGTCAAGAATCAAAAGCTGTTTCCCATGAGAGTTAGCAATTCCATGCAGTGAAAATAGCTACATTTATCACACTCATCTCCTTAGCTATCTGGATACAGTGAGTGTATTTGTGGGGGGGTAAATAAGTAATCAGCTTAAACTACATGGGGCTTTCCAGATGGTTAGACATTAGCTTATCTACTTGGCAGACACCAAATCCTCTTGCAGTAAATGCACTGAAGCCAACTGTGCTGTCTATGACCAGTAGTTACACTCCTGTACTGATCAAAGTGCATCTCCATCATTTTCTCCTGGATCTCAATGGAGGGTGGTCACTGTATCCCTTTATTGCACAATTGGATTGAAGTGCAAGAGTAAACTTACAAAAGTGCACTGGGGTGCTTTTCCTTTAGGATTTGTCCACTTGCATGGGAAAAGGGACCATCGTAGCAGCATCGATGTGAAAGCTTGCTGGAGAGCTGAGAAAGATACACAGTGAACAGCTGGAAAACACTTTTCATTCAGCTCACCAGTACTTGTTAGCAAAGTAAAGTCTGCAAGCATTCAGAAATATAAAATGCTCTGAGCAATACATTTCTGAAATAAAAGTATAGTCATCTCCTTTCTGTCTCACCTTTAAAAATTGTGAAATGAGATGACTAGATTTTGATTTATGAGGTTTAACAACAGAGCAGGAAGGAAATAAGCTGTTTACCTGTCTGTGCTTTAACTAATAGTGCTTGCTCTGTTACAAGCCTGTTGACGCAGGGTATTTTTGTTAAACTGGGACTCTGAAATGTGGCTTCTACAAAAATTACAGCTGCAGACTCCTGAGTATGTATGTGGTCAGTCACAGGAAGCAGTTCAGTTGAAACCCTTAGGAGTGCTCTGCATCGTAGAGGAAATATTTGCACCCAGTGATGGCAAGAGTCCATCTCGGATGCAATTCCACCCCTGAACTGGAAAATAGTATTCCAGTAAAATGGGGCCAAAGGATTGTTATGCAAAGATTAAATTCATATCCTAGTCATATCTGTGGAATTAATTCAGCAAGATTTCTCTGTCCAAACAGACAGGAACACTTCAGGGGTTGGAATATGAGATTTGATAAAACCCTGAGGGAAAAGCAAACATCCCAGCAAATACAACACCTAGTAGGATTGATGGGTTGGAGGAGCAAGAACAGATTTGGATTTGGTATGTTGCTTAATGTAGAAGACTATTTAAAAGAATTATCTTTTCACTAACTGGAAACATTATGTAGTAAATATCGCACTCTCTTAATGCATCCTTTACCTCATCCGAGTTTCATCAAAAGCCCTGTGCTTATCCATGGCTAACTAGATCCACACACCTCCCTGTAGGTCAGTGAAGCTCCAGAGCAGCTCACAGACTTACTTATGAAAAAATTTTGACTTTATGGTCAAATTGCCCAACTCCCCACAGAAGAGCTAGAAGGTGCAAAAGCATCAAATGCAGCAGCTCATTCCAGGGGTTACTTTACTTACAGCATTTCCTATGGACGCAAATTGCAAGCTGGGATGGCAGAATTAGGAAGCCATTCCCTGTCCACCCCAGTCAGAGCACACACAGCTGAGACACTTCTGAATCACCTGGAAAAGTGCCAGGTGACTGCATGGCTATGTAAAATAAGCCACCACCAACTTCAGTCTGTTGGGGGGAAGCAGGGGTGGCCGTGCTCCCTCACAAAGCCACGTTGCCTCCTGAGTCAGTCATTCAAGTGCTGGCTCTGTGGTCCAAGCAGACCCCCACTGTGGGTCATTACTCAGCTCATAGCAGACTTCTTCCCTCCTCACAGCATGGCCTTGTGAGGGTCTAACTTCAGCAGCTGGAATATCACGAGTTTGCTTGACCTAAACCTGAGGAAGCTCTGCTCTGGCAAGGGAGTCATCCCATGTCAAAGACACTAACACTTGGGTATGGCGTCACCAGCACGATGGGCAGACTTGATATAGAAGAGGGTAAGCAGTGATCAGAAAATAAAGAAAATCACGTCCCCTGGGTTAATTACGGGGCTACCAGGATGTTTTCCAGCACCGGTTTCCCACATCTCCCAGGGAGGGGTTTTCCAATGGCAGACGCTGTACAACTCCTCCTCGCAGTGGTTCCCGGTGTCCGGTCGGCACTTCCAACATTATGACCCCACACTCAGCTTCCGGGCACAGGGCAGCACACACCATCCCCAGAGAGGGGAGGTCATTCAGAGCAACCATGATGACCTGCACTGTCAGCTGCTTTATGAGTCCAAGCTGCTGCTGGAGGCTGAAGTGCTCCTGGTGCCGGAGGGGATGGGGCTGCTCACGGAGTAGATGCCTGAGGGGAAGGACTGGCACTATGGAAGAGCTCAGGGGAGCTGCTTCCACCCGGCCCACGGATGTGACCAACCTCGATGCAGGTGCAGAAGACCCTGCTCTTCCTTGATCAAGAGCAAAAACTGAGCAACAGCTCACTGCAGTGGCATCATGGCTCTGCTCCCTCTCAGCTCCAGGTTTAACATTCAAATCTGCCGGTGCTGCGACCCACACTGGGGTCCAGGATGCTGTCAGGTCGCCGTACACCTCTGCAGCAACATGTGACACGAATGCACTACTACTGTGAATCCAATATGAATTCACTTGGTGTGAACCATTTTACCATCTGGACCTCTTCTTTAAGTTTTGGGAAGTTACATAATTCCCTTAAAGCAAGATCCTGGCCGAGCCTGCAGTCAGAAATGGCACAAAAGCTCAGAGTAACAACTTTTAGCTGTTTTTAGAGGAGCGGGAGACTACTGCTGTTTTAATTTTTGCTATAACTGGGCATCAGTAGAGCCTGTGGCATCTGCCAGTTCCCTCAGGGAAGTTATGTGAAGCAGAGTCCCATTACTAGCTGTGCACTGCATTGCCTACTCTGCCTTCAGCACACAATTAGTGATCAAGGCAAACTGAGGAAGACCAATGAATCACTTACTTCTCTGTTATCCAGGAATTTTTTTCTTCTGAATTGGAGTCCTTATGACTCCTACTGCAAGATAACCAAACGGCACCAGCAGAGCAATAAGGGAACATGATGTATCACTCCTTTAGGATATGATCTAAAAAACTTTTCTTGCCACAAAATTCAAAGCAGCCAAACCACAGGACAAAAACAGCTTACAGCCCATTGTCTGCTTTTCTTACACTGACAAGATGCTGATGAGCTTCACTTCATGGAAAAACCGCTTCAAAGAATCACCCCTCAAATATGCTTTTTTATACTCCATTTTCCTCATTTTCTATATTCATTTTCGCAAACATGTCCTAAACAACATGTAGTTATGTACTACACTATAAATGGAAGCAATTTGTTTTACAAATTAATCATAATGCACATTTAAATCTACATCACACTTGCATCAAGATGATCATCACATTGTCATGGTTACATTATTTATTACAATTTAACTGCCACTAGTCTATTTAGGAGGAAAACAACACTCATAAAGAAGCCAGCCATTTCATAATTTACATTACTTGTATTTTCATTCTTGCAATTGAAACAGAATAGAAGTATAACTGGAAGTCAGAAGCAAGATACTCATACGCAACAAAAAAATCTAAGGTTCAAGTGTCATTTTCAGATGAGATACTGTTACCTCTGACATCATCCTCATTGGGATGAAAATGTGTACTCCAAGATATAGGCAGGGTAAACCTGATGCTTCTCAAAGATGACAAAGATGGAAGGATCCTCCGGGTCATCCACACAGCTGTCGTAGAGCCTGTTTGCATTCCCAGCTCTGGGTGGAGGGCGAAGGTACTCTGAATTGCCCTCAACAAAGTCTCCAACAAGAACTCGAGCTACAAACATGCTCTGGTGACCAGTGCGGGATGGGCAGTACTCGTGAGAATAACTGGCGTCTCTGGCAAAGTAGCTTCCTAGGGAGCAGAAAAAGGCACAACTGAGAAAAACACATCGGGCAAAGGAGCAAACGGCTCCTACCGGCACTCTGACAAGCAACCATTCAGCAAGCACCTCCTTCTCCTTCCTACCCCACGTAGCTCTAAACACAGCCTTGCCAAGGCTTCCCACATCGCTTGATTTTAAAGCATCAGCAGACGCTGGCCACGTTTCACCATCCCCCTCACAGCCCTACCTGACCTCAAGCTCTCCTTAACAGCAGGTACCTGAGGCAAGGAGTGATGTTTTCAGCCCCGCCAGAAGCACAGCTGCTGCTGACACCCTCCGCAACAGGCGCACACGGACAGGAGCGCGGTGTCGGCCCCAGGCAGTCCCCTCGCAGCGACCCACAGGCCTGGCCGGCGTTGGCAGCCCGCGGCATTGGCAGCCCGCACTGCTGCAGCCCCTGCGCCGGCTCCTCCTGGGCCGGTGGGGGTCCTGCCTTGGCACGCGCTGCCCCGCAACACGGGCTCCTGCCCTCCTACCTCTTCCATACAGCGTCCCGTGAGCCCCGCACACCCGCCAGTCGAAGTTCTGCTCGCAGATGGCAGCCAGGTGGGACGCGCTCGTGCCGTGGAACAGGAGCTGCTGGTCTACCTCTTGCCCTGGGCTTTTCTTTTTCATCTGCTCCTTCTGCCATGGAAAAAAAAAAGATCTGAGGTTTCAGCAGCTGTATATACACCCATGCACAAACACCTCTTGTTTTTCTGGGTCTGCCCTCTTCCCCACCCAAGTTCCAACCTGATCACAAATCGTATGGAGGGCTGAACAAAAAGAGTGTGCACCCCTTTGAACCCTCTCACACCAAATGATGAATAACATGCACACTGCACACACTAGGGCATTGCCTTGGCCTCCCCTGGTAAATCTCTGTGTGCCTGGCTGAACCAGCAGAGATGGTGTTTGAAATCAGAAGAGGCAAATGAGCTGAGATAAGATCCTTTCCTCCTGAACTCAAGCCTTCCCCCTTCTCTCACATGTCAGGACAGAGCCTTTCACCTGAAATCAAACTGCATGGTGGCTTTCTGCCTGCCATCAGAAGGCAGGTATGCCAGACATTCACATCTAATCTCTGTTTAGCACTGCCTTTATGTGGATCCCTTAATAGAGAAAGAGGGTATATAGCCAGGGAAATAAAAAATCTCTGTCTTTTGTGGCATCAGATCTGATTTCAGCCGACTATTTTTTATACTGAAATATAGAACTAGGACCCTCAGATGACTGAAAATGATGGCATTGCTGAAAAGGTTGCTTGTTCCTTTGATGGCCTGCAAAGAGAGCTTATTTCTCTTCTTTCCTGGCTCACGTCAGTGCCAGAAGGCCAAGATGACTAATATTTGTCCTATTGTCTTTACCAGTCGCTCTCCTTCCTTCCCAGCTCCAGTCCTTAGGAAAGTGTCTGAGACCTTCCTCCATGCAAAACTTGCAGAACCAAGAACATTTTGAGCTGGAGCTAACAGGAATCCCTGTGCTATCACAAATGCAAAAACTTCCAGTGAGCTTCAGATAGTTCCAAAAGAGATTTTGAAAGAAGCAGGAGAGATTTCAGAAATACAAGATTGTCTGGATGACGGAGAAAAGAATCAAAGCAAGAAAACTGAATTTCTAATATGTAGCAAACTGGTGCTGCTCACACCTCTTACAGGGATAAGGCAATAAATAGATCACAAGCCAAAGAGCGATCTCTCTCCCTCTGCAGCCTTCACCGCTAATTCCCAATAGGATTAGTACCTTAAGTTTTGGTCTCGGATCTCAGTTTTGCTGATAAAACAAAACACATTGGCCATTAAACAGGCCACATTACCTGCCATTTCAAACTATATTCTCAGGGAAGAGCTCAAGCAGTCTGTTGTTTAGATATATGAAAAAGATTTCGATTCCTCACTCTATTGAAGGGGTAAAATTCATCTAACCGATTTTATCCATCCCCTTACTGGCCAATCAGACCTGTCTATTACTTCCTCATGCTTTGCTCAGTCCTAAAAATGTTTTACGTGAAGAAATTCTGCACCTACGAGATAAAGAGAGCTCTCCACCAGGGTTTTGACTAAATGCTTCTGTTGAGTTGATGGAAAATGCTAACGCCAACCAGAACTGCTTTTTGCAGGAATATTCCAGTTTTGGTGCTGTTTCCCTTGGAAAATTTCACATCCAGGATGGCATCTTTGGTTACTGTACTCAAACCTAAGTGACCTTATCCCAAGCTTCATTAGTGCAATGACAAGGGTAGGCACCCAGAATAGGGAGACTTAGGATCAGTTTAAGCCTAGGATAAAACGTACGGCTCCCATGTCCTGGGAAAACATTCCTCTGGCTGTGGTTAATTACCTCCAAGATTTCATGAGAAAATAAAACTCTGGCCTTCTCCAGTTTGAATGAGAACATTTTTGCAGTTCTGAGAAGCCAAACAGTAAAGAACACATTTCCCTATGTTGTTCTACCAATAAGGAGGAGCTTCGGAAGCTGTTATGTATAATTTGAACTTATAATGTTTTGGGTTGTTGTTTTTTCCTAAGAAGGGTCATAGAGCACGATATTTTTAAAAAATGGCTTCTACAAAGCCAGATTTACAAAACATCATCTGTATGAACCCCAAATATAAAATCTAGAGTTATAAAAGTCATCTTCATAATAAAAATTTTTATGTCACTAGGTTTTTCTCATCAAAACATAAATTTTATATAAATCTCAGGTCTAGTTTCACAGGACACCAAACATTTTTGACATTTCCCTTCCATTTCTGGTTTTGTTTATTTTTCTGTCTTAAATCAGAGGATCAGAGCAACGCCTTCATGAGAAATCAGCCTATACCCATGCCAGTTTGGATATGGTGGCGAGCAGAGAGGGAGGCTGTTTTCCTTTTGCCAAGCGGGGAACCACCCACAGGCCCTGGGCAAGAGACGGGACCCAGCGACTATCAGAACTACTCTGCTGTCACCAGAGGAACGAAATAAAGCTGATACAAACAACGAGAAATGCTGCCAAAGCATCGGGTTCTGAATCCTCTGGAGCCTGCGGATGCTGTAATTGTTCACTGTCTGCTGAAATAGGTTCTCAGTTCCCCTGTATTTGCTGGTACGGCAGCTGACTTCTACTAACTGCGACTATTAACACAACAGAGACCAGCACGTTAAAGAGCTTTCGGCTACACCTCTCCAGTCCTTCCCACACATTAAGGATGGAAAGCCTTGTGGCTGCAATTACAGTTGAGGATTTTTCGGAGCCTTCTCTCATTTATTCCTCGGCTTTTTCCTCGCTCTCATTCTTAGCCCAATGTGCTCTGAACTCCTACTCTGAGGCCTTGTTTATAACACAAAGAAGGTATTGCTTTCTATGGAGCACATTTATTCTGCACGCAGAGATATTCTTGTCCAACATAAGCTAAAACGAAGTTATGCAAAGACACTGTGGGTTCAGAATAGGTGTCCAGTTGGAGAAGAGAAAGCAAAATAATTCTTCCACATCAAGTCACACCTACCTTTATTGCACACTAATTCCTCTTTGTAGGCAAGCCTTAATGTTACTGTAGTGAGTCATCAATGAGCTTTGTAATCACACCGTCTGATGTTTCAAAAATACATAAGATCTAAATCTCATAATAACAATATTAAATGAGTTGATGATCGCCCTAAAGCACTTGCTTTGATTTGAAATTCTAGCATGTGACTGAGTTTTAAAGGAGAAATAGTGCTGTAAATAGGGTACTGCCAAGAAGAACTGAGACTCAACCCCCAGATCTTCAGCTGTCATCTAGGTCAAATCAAAAGCACAACGGATAAATCAACATTTCTGCGCAATGGCCATTTAGATGTACAACCCCTATAGCGTGAGCGAACCATCTTAGTGAAACCTGCGTCCCCTGGGAGCTACGGCACATCTATCCTTGTCTCTCTTGCAGTTGTACATATTGAAGTGACACATTTGCAAGCTGAGAACTAACAGAACCAGTCCCTGGACTTGGGTGCGTATATTACACTTGTTTGAGAGCGAGAGCCAGTGCAGAATATGACTTTTCCTAGGGTGAACAGATGTGAACAGATATATACTTCCCATCCTATTTCGGGCAGTGCTGAACGGTCGCAATCTGAAGGAAACAGATGATGTGTGCGAACAGCATCTGACTGTCTGTTTAAAACAAGTTTAAACAAGATTAGAAAACTCAAGGGACTTCCATGAGGCAGTCTCTTGGTCATGACATATAAACTACAGCACAAGGGCTGCCTCAAAAAATCTTAGCTTTTTACACCCTGTATAAACTCTTCTCCCATGCTAACACAAGCCACCAGTAGAGAGCTTCCAGGTATGCTCTAGCAGTGCTCTGCAGTAAGATGCATCATGCAGTGCTGAAAAAAGTTCTTGGCTGCATGCTTATAAACATGCCTAACAATATCCAGTCTTAGTCCTGCCTGAAGAAAGCACAAACAGCCCTTCAAGCACCATCCAGGCATCACCCGTCCTTACCATTGCCAGGCCATACTAGCTTCTTCTGGCCACGAGCAGCAGAAAAATGCAGTAGCACAAACAGTTCACACAGTACCTGCTGAGACCCTAGGAAATCAGTACATCTCTCCTTTTCATGATCCTGCTTAGATGCCTTTGGCAGGACCATAAATTTCAACTCACTGAGAGAGGAAGCAGAGAAGGAAAAGGCCACTAAAAATGTCAAATTACCAACATCTACCTTCCACCCCAACCACTACAATCACTTTTTTTCCATCTCTCTTATTTCCCCTGACTGCTAGAAGGCTTTACCCATTCCCTAGTCCAACAGTGTTGCACACCTTCCCAAGCCAAGGTCCTCGCTCCCCCAGGCTCACTCATCTTCCCACTACAGATTACTGCATTCACAAATCAGGATGTCAGCCTTATTCCCTGAGCTTTCCCAGTTCACTAACAGGCTGTGCGGCAGATCAAAGGAATTTTTGCACAGGCTATGTGGCTATGCATGCCTGGTTTGGACTGTGTGTTTCACATAGTGACCAGGACCAGCCTTGACACAAGGAATTATATTTAAAAAAAAAAAAAAACACACTAGAAACACCAGTATGCTAAGATTTCTCTATTTTTGAGGATTTAGTTGAATACCCTCAGTCATCTAACTTCATATCAGCAGAAGGTGAAGAATGGCTCTTCACTCTGTGTCCAGGACACTGAGATTTTTCCTCAGTGCATTCTCCCTGACTGTCACAGTGAGAACCTATCAACACTGTCAAACCCAGCCTACTTGCATGAAACTACAATAAGCAGATAAATGAATCATACTGAAGCAGGAGAGGACTCAAGAAATAGCTACTCTTCTATGGACAGGGAGATAATGAACATAACATCCAATACCTTTTCTTGTCCTGTTTGCTACTGCCACCCGTTGCAGCACTTGGATGCCTGCAGATTTTTATCACAGTCTGAGTATTCAGATTTCTCTAGACCATTGCGCTCTCTTTCTCTCAGAAAGAGAGCGCAAAGGCACCAAGAATTAGAGAGAAGACCTTTGCCATCTGGGAGTGCTGCCCAGGAGAGCAGAAGTCATTGTGCAACAGAGCAAAACAATGCCCTTCCCAGAGCCTCTTTTCTGCCGCACATTCCCAATGTGTCACAGCGGGATTAGCATAGCTTGTGCTGTTCCTGCAGGGAGCCCCTCCTTTACTCCGTGCCATTTCTGCTTCAGGCATTTCACTGTCAGTATGAAGGGATCTGTGCAGGAGGTTTCATGTTCTAGCAGTGACTGAAGAGTTGATTATCACCATCACCTGAGCTCACCCTTTCTTTCCTTCACATAGATTCTGCCTCCAAAACCTCTGAGATTTGGTAGGCTGCTAATCTCTCTTCCAAACAGTACTAGGTCAACTTGTCATGCTAAAAGAAGGATCTCTCGTCCTTTCCTCTGCTCTCATGGTGATAGCACAGGGCAAACACTGATAGGCACTTAAAGTTTTGGGCATGTTTGTGGATGTCTTTGACCCCGTCTCACTCAGAGCGGTTAAAGCACGGCAATAGCCAATGAACTTTTCATTTCATTTATAATATTGTGATCCACCTCACAAAAAGGGCTTCTCTAAAGCACTCAGTCCTTTCGCTAGGTATCTAGACTCTGCTTTACTCATGCTGCATCTTTTATGGTTTCCGACAGGGTGATATAGTACCTCACATTGACTTCCCAGTCTCAGGCTCTCATTATTTTGTTGCCTGCTAAAGATGCTCATGGTAATTCCTACGGCTCTCCACAAACCTAGCAACTTGTGATACCCACTTCAGACAAGGTCCCTGTAGCTCAGAGATGGATTATGTCTCAGAAGCTTGGGAAGCCCAGATCTTGCTGCCTACAGACACCCTAAGAGTTTGGCAGCCTCCTCTGTGAATACCGGATTCACCAGCCCCCACACAGTGATGTGCCTGGTTTGTATCAGATCACTCAGACTCAGCTTTATTACTAGGGAAGACATAAGGAGAAAAGCCCCCATATACTTACTTATAAGAACACAGTAAAGGAACTAAGCTACAAGAAATTAAACTACAGAACGGGCTACTGAGATTGTGCTCTGCCACCTTCTGAGCCCTTTAATTAACTGGCCTGCTTACAGCTCACTTGCCCTGCAGAGATCTTGGATAAGCTTTTCTCTTTTTCCAGTTACTGAAGGTGGCCACCAAAGCAGCTGTGCTCTTTCTCCAGCCCCAGACATAAGAAGGGAGACATCCTACCTAATTCTTGCTCCTTCAGACTGGGCTTGAAGATACCATATGGCAACGTACACTCCCTTCTGTAGACGTAAGACATGCATACACTTTAACACCAGACTGCTTTCCACTGCTTACAGTCTGATGTTAAAATATGATACATCATGAGCAACAGTCATTGCACAAGATCTCTTCTTAGGCTTTGCACAGAATTTATGCCATAGAAACTCAAATACTGTTTACAGTTACCCTAGGCTTTGGTCCCCCTTCTGTTTCTTCTTCCCTCTTCCTCTTCCCCAAGCTGTGGCCACAATGCTTTTTTTCCTACTTGAAACAGACCTAGCTGTATGGCATATTCACACATAAGGAAAAGCAGAGTCACCAGCTTGTCATACTCACCGTGCATCATGGTAAATGGCATTCACACAGAAAGTCAGATTACAATGCATGCAACAACCGCCTATGCTGCGAAAGCACAAGAGGGCCAATATATCCCAGATGAATTAGTCTCACTATCATTTCCTTCTACATACAAGCATTTCAGCCCCTGGTTTCCCAGTTATAAATATGTAAAAAGGTCCACATATTTACAGTCTTAGCACAGTATGGTGTCACATTAAGAAGACAGAGATGTTACTCTAAAATCTCAGTCTCCCTGTTTAGACCAGAGCCACCTCCAGTCTCAATTAGTCTGCAAAAATTGTTTCCACTTTCTCCTGCAATGCTTGCTTCCATTTTATCCATTTTATGTTTTAGTTCTTTCATCTTCCCTTTCTTATTGTTCTAAGAGATGCTGTTTGTAACCCATGAAATGTTCTCTAACTGCTCCTGCATCCGTGCTTAAAAGCGTCTCCAGAGGCATTCTGGGAAAGACGTGGCATTGCAGTTAGCTTCCGTGTAAGCAAGTCAAGAGTTAAGCACACAGACCTTTTACCTGTGAAATCTAACTCCTATTTCTGTGAATCAGCTTAAGATTCATAAGCACCTTCCTGATGAGTTTGCAATAACAGCTCCACCTGTGCAGAAGGTATGGGGGCAGCGCACTGGTCTGGGTGCTATAAAGGAGGGGAAAATTTGTTAGAAATGGGTGTTGGGCTACGGTAGTGTCGCACACATGTAACAGAGCTGGATTTAGCATCTCTACAAGTCACGAGGAAAAGCTAGTGATTTAAACTATTCCAGATCACAGACTCCTCTCTATCCTGCACCTAGCTCGCTCTACTGTTTTTACGAGTCCCTCCACCACCAAAGACTGGAGGGACTCTCTCCTGTCCATGTCTCCTCTCTGTCTCCCAGTTTGATTACCTGCACATGTCACCTCCCTTCACCGGCCTTGTGCAGCTGCCATCCCCCTCACTCACTGGAGCTCCTTCACCCACCTCGTACTGCCCTGGGGTAAATGAGTAGAGGCTCCCTGGTAGGAGGAGGTACAATTCAGGGCTCCTGGGTTATTTCCAACACAGTTTATAAATAGCATTGTTTCCCAGGGGCCCTGACAGGAAAAGCAAGTGTTCTTCAGGGCCTTGTTTTTCAGCAAAAGTACACAGGAAGGAGACCCTTTTCACACACCCGGAATTTTCAAATTGAAATGTGTTTTCAATAAAGCCTTCAGCCACTTGTAAAGACAGCCTGTTTTCAGAACTGCGTTTCCTGGAAGCATTAATGAAAATCAGAAAAAATTACAGAAATGTGTGAGGTCATCAAGAAACCACTGGGAGAATATCTGAGTGACATTTATTAAATAAAACTAGCAAGTGACAAGTTCAAAACAAGTAGAAGGAGACTCTCCTTCAAGTAACATTCAGCTCAGCCGTGGAAATCCTTGTTGAAAGATGTTGTGGATGCTAAAAGTTTATACAGGTTCAAAAACTGATGGAATAATTACTGAAAGAAAAATGCATCCAGGGCTATTACATATAGAGATACCATCGGTGATGCAGGAGATCCATAAGTCAAAGATTGTCGTAGGCAGGGAGCACCTTCTTGGAAAATATCGCTACCTGCCTGCCTTGAGCATACATTTTCCTTTGGGTACCTCTGTCATCCAGTTAAGGATCCAGTTAAGGATCCAGTTAAGCTCCAAGGCTGGATGTACCTTTGTTCTGACATGGCTTGGCCATTCTTACACTTTTGGGGAAGGGGGAAGCAGAAAGTGAGCTACCAGCACAACATGTTGGGAATAAAAGGGAGTTGCTCTCCTCTTTCCCATGTTCAACCCAATGACTGTGCCTATCCAACTAATACCAGCAGCAGCTTCCCTTTTGGGCCATGGAGCAGGTATCAGTGATTGACAGATTGTGCAGAAAGATAAGAAAGATAACCACGTACAGCAACAACAAAAAGCCAGATCAGTTTCTGGCAGTCCCAGAAAGACTAAATGACTGCAACAAATATGTCAGTAACTGTGACCAATAACTCTGCCGCCCTTCAGCGGGCTCCATGGCACTCAAACCCATGCTCTCTGCCTCTTTCATCCTTCTCTATAGCTCCTTGTGCTGTGGGTCGCAACCTATGCTTAGTGTGCAGCAGCTGCAATTACACTGTGACTTCTCTGGGGAGGAGGATCTGGTTGCATTGAAGGCATCCATGAAGAACAGGCCCCAACAGATCTTATGGGTTGCTTATGGTTAAGGCTTGTCTTGTGCGATACCTCCCTCTTCCAGCTCTTCACCAGCCCTGCACCTCATCACAACCACCCTCAGCTCTTCCATCCTCCAACCGCCTGTCTCTTTCTGACCCCAATCCTGCAACCTTACCAGTGCTCCTACCCCTGTTGCCCCCTACAGTGGCACTCCCCCACCCCCTCACTCCTGGCGCTAGCCTGGCCCTTTATGCTAACAAACATCCCAAGGGGCCAAGGGGCCAGCTGAGAGCTGCTTCCCTCCCTGTCAGATGCCCCACTCCAGGCTGTCTGGCAGGGCATGCAGGTTTTAGCCCCTGCTCAAATTCAGCACAGCCCATGTCTCAGGCAGTCACCAAGCCACGGAGGTGCAGCCGCATTGCTTTGTCTAGCAGAGTCCTAAATATGTAGGCAAACCCCTAAATGCAGCCCCTCCACAGAGACACCCAAGCAGAAAAGTGCCCTAGGAGCAAAAGGTGCCCAAGAGCTCCACTGAAATGTGCCCCTCTACCTGCTCCTCACAATTCCTCTTCCACAGCAGCCCAGGTAACACCATCAAACCTACCTTATCTGAAGAAAATAGCCCTGCTGGGGGACTGGCAATCAGGGCAGACCGACCTGGATCTCCCTCTCTCTGACCTGTCAAAACAGCAGGAGGCCTCATACCGGTGCTGCGAGGACAACTCTGGCGACAGCCATGGCTCCACCAAGTGCTCCCTGCCTTCACCTGCTCACCCCGACCCACCACATGGCACCAGGAGCTCCTTCCTCCAGGTACCATGCCAGGCAGTTTGAGGTGCATGGGCCCATCTCCCTCCCCAAAAGCTGCTTCGCTCTGCCCAGCCTGCAGCCACTGCCACAGCCTCCCTCCCACCAAAAACTGAACGGGCACCGCCATCTAGGGATATGGTAGCAAAAGGCTGCCAAGCAGTGAATGTAGCACCCCGTACCTTTCCTCCTGCTGTCTCCATCCCCACTGGAGGCATTGTCTGGCCACTGGCAGATTTGCCTTGTCGCCTGCGTGCACTGATTTCTCTGGACCATGTCTTGAAAGAAAACATGAATGCATCCACAATCAGAAGAATGGATTTTGGCATCTGGGTATGTTGTTTACGAGAAAAGAAGTGGTCTACTAGTACGCCTTAAGAACCTCCTCCACATTATAGAGTGGAAAGCATGAAAGTTTGGGTAACTTTTTTTCGGAGTACTCCTAATCTTTCTTCACTCCTTTATTCTGTGCTATTTCCTTTTCACTGACAATAGTAATGACTCTGCACATATATTTGGAGGACCTGTCTGACAGCTGAAGAACATGTCATCATCTTCTAGTTTTGCCTGATTTCAGTTTTTTCTTTTATGGGGGATTTTTTCTCTTTTTTTTTTCTTCTTGGAGTTATCCTGACAAAAAGATCTAGATCTATGAGAAGACTACATATAGTCTTTCTACCAACACAGGCTTGTTATTTGGTATCTCTGGTCTTGTTCCTGTAGCAACATTACAAAGTAAGAAGAGGGTCATTGCAATCCCTCCCCCATAAACAGATTATCTGTAGATGCCCCTGGGATGTGCGCGATGTGCTTCCCCCTTTTTCTTTGTGCCTCAGACAAAGCAGTTCAGGCACAGAAATTTCTGCTCAGCTTTTTATTTTGGTTAAGTAAATAGTCTCATTGCACAGTACATCAGACACATCCTGAACACAGCAAACTCATTCTCACCCAGGGCCCAGCACTGCGCTAGCAGTGCTCTACACAGGATTTCCCTGCCAGACAGATGAGAAGCCTGGCGCAGTGCAAGTCATGCGTCACATCGCACCGTGCAGTCACGGTCAGGAGGCTCTGAAACCTGTCCTCAGCTCCCACACCTTCCTCCTCCCTCCACTTAGGCTGGGGCTACCCTTCCTTGCACCACCATTGCGCACATCCTTGAGCCTTGCTCTGTTCTGGGATCCCGACCTTCCCCTCTGTGCTGCCTCAGCAGTGACCACCTACAATTCACAAAACACTTCCCAGCACTCTTGCAACCCATGCCTGCAAGCCTTCTCCAAGGAGAAGCTGCACTACAGTGCCAGTCACATCACAACTGCATTAGACATCAAGCAAACATGTACCTTACTTTTGAAGTTTATCTCATACTGTTGAGAACCTGCTTGAAACTGGAGAGTGCCTTTCTGGTCAGCCTGAAATGCCTTCTCCACCTGAGCAGAGGTTATGGTGGCAGCACAGTGGTTTGGAGACCAGCAAAGTGAAGGAAAATATCTGTCAGATGCAAGTTTTGGCTTAAAGTGCCTGCAGAGCAGCATTTCGTTCGCTGACCGGGGGTAGGCAGGGATAACTGTCTACAACTTGGATTTTGCCAGTGCAGAGGCTCGCTCCCAGCCCTATCCCACACCTCCTTCAGAATCTGTTTTCTGGATTCTGCCACCACTTGTTCCCAGTCATTGCTCCTCATCACAGCCCACTTGAACCAGGCCTGGCAGGGAGGGTGTATCCCCAGAGCCCTTGTCCACCTCTGCAGGCTGTGATACGTGCCACCTCCTTCTCAGTCTTACACACAGGGTTTGAGAACAGCGCCAGGGCTTCTTTAAGGGTGGTACTTTGTTATTGTTCCTTGTCAATGCGTGGGATAGTTTTCTGGCATTGCCTTCTTCTGTGAGTTATTACGAGTTCCAAGAGAAAAGAGCGCCTTCCTCACAAACGCACACATAGCATTAAAATTGTTTAGACAAAAGCAGTTTAGAAAGGTTCTGGTTTGGCCAAGAAAATAAATAGTGTTTTGACCTAGACCTCACAGGCTCCTGAGGGATATGAGCATATTTATGAGAGGCAGCTGAACATGTCAAAATGCACATGTACCACATGGAAATATTGAGAGAATATCCAGAACACATGCGAAAGGCACTGCTTGCCAAAGAAAAAGACAAAAATAGCCCCTGCTAGGTAGCTGGCACGTGACTTTGGATACAAAAGAAAGAGATGCTTTCCTCTTCTCCATATTCATTCTACTGACTAGATTCATCCAACCAATACCAGCTTTTTTCCATAGTGACCATAGGGTAAGCATCCAGGACATGATGCACAGAGAAGCAAGATGTGCAAGTGGAATGATCAATGTTTGGTCAACCACTGCACTTTTCATTCCTTCCATCCTCTATTTCCACGTACATGTCCTCTTCTTCCCAGTGCTGCTACGCAAAATGATCATGTTTCAGAAGACCCCTCCAGTTTGCTACTCCTCACCTGAAGAGGTCCAGAAAGTGGAGTTGCTCTTTATGGCACTGATGATGAAGCAGGGAAGTGATGGCAAACAGCACAAAGTGCATGGCTAGACATCCGAGTCACACTACCTCAGATGTAACAGAGCAGCTCAGGTCTGGCACAACATACGACCCAATCACCCTGCAAACCGTTCACCCATCAGAGCCAGAAGCAGGCACAGCCTTTTGCTTGGGGCCTGCAGTGGCCAACACACTCTCCCAGGGGACTGACAGCCAGGCCAGACTTGGCTCTCCCTCGCTCAGAGCCCTCGGAGCAGGAGCTCCCAAAAGGATCTTCGCTCTGCCCAGCCTCCAGCCACCGCCACAGCTTCCCTCTCCCTGAAAACTGAACAGGCACCGCCATCTAGAGACACGGCAGCAAAAGACTGCCAAAGAGCGAATGCAGCACTCTGCACCTTTCCTCCTGCTGGCTCCCATCTGCAACAGAGGCATCGTTTGGCCACCAGCAGATTTGTCTTGTCACCTGTGTCTGCACTGATTTCTCTGAACCATGTCTTGAAAGAAAACATGAATCCATCCAGACTTAGAGTAGTTATTCAAGAAATGTGTAACTCAGCTGCAGAACCCATTGCCACAACATGATGGCAGGTGCTAGAAGCTTACAAAGAATGACTAGAAAAATCCACAGAAGGAAAGAAAATCCACCCAGGGCCACCAGCTACAAAGACATTACCTCAGGTTTAGGAAGTCCCCAAGCAGCAAGCCCCTGGACGCCAAGGAAGTATCACTACCTGCTAGCCCTCTCCTCTTCCCTGGAAATCCAGCGTAAAACCACTGCTGGAGGCAGGATGCTAGGCTAGCACATCTTGGCCTAACCCTGTTTTGCCACTTCTATATAGCAAGGGAGACTATCCATAAGAAAAAATTGCTATCCACCATAGCTATGCAATGCTTTAACTGTGGCCTTCTCCAGTGTATTGTTCCACAACATGAGGTCATTTTCTTTAGAGTTGTCTCAGCTTGCGCTCTGCAAGTGACATTAAACCCAAACTGGCAGCACAAGCAGGGCAGATATGAATCCTCTTTGCAGCCTGTCAAGGCTTCTCTTTCAGTCCCAACTTTCTGGGCTTTCACGGTCCCACTTCTCAAAACAGATGGGCTCACTTAAAATGTTACCTATGTGTGATTTAGCTCTTTCCTTTCTTTTGTCTGAACATCACCCATGCTTTTTGATCAGTCACGCAAATAATGTCCTTCTCAGTAGACAAGCTCACAGCTGAATGCAGCCTACCAGCACAGAGAATCACAGACTTTCTCTCATGCAACTCTCCTCCTGCAGCGGGCTCAGCAAATCCAAGTGTCTTTCTGATTTTGCTTTTCCCCTTTCGCGACTCCTCCCTTGCATGTAGTGGCACATGCACCACATCCCAGGTATTAATCTCAGACTATCATCCTAATACTTCTCCTTTTCTGTTGTTGAATACTGTGACTTTATTTTTTTTATTCTTTTAACTGTACGGCTCTCCAATAGCTCCAGCAATATAAATCACAAAGTTAAACACAAGAATGAGAAATTATTATATGTTTCTCTATTTCATGCTCTGTGAGACACAAGCAGCATCTCCTCTATCTCTGCAATTTAAGGTGAGTAATCTTCTAGCAAGCTCCTTTAAATATCCGTGTTTCCTCTGGCTAAGACAGCCACTTCTGCTGGTGATGAGGGTACATGAGGCATTTTCAGAAGTGAAGCTACACTACAGAGTCAGAGTCAGCTCATATATGTCATATCATAAACAAACAAATATTTTACCTTTGAAGTTTATCTTGTATTTCTGTGAATGAACTTGAAACCTCAGAGTGCTTTCCTGATCTGCCTGAAATGCCTTCTCCACCTGGCAGATGTTATGGTGACGACAGAGTAGTTTGGATGCTACAAAAAAGATGGAAGTGACAATATCTGTTATAGGGAGTTGCCTCTGAATGCTCTTAACAGACTCGGGTTCATCATTACATCAAAACCTAGGTATTTAGTAGTCCAAATAGTGCTGCACTGTACTTTAGAGGAGCAGCTTTCTGAATCCAACTTTTTTGGCTTTCCAGTGAGTTACCAGCATTCCCTTGCCCTCGCCCTGAAATACATACGTATATGTAAATATATATTGTTTATATATATATATACACACACACACAAAAAGTATTGAAAATGATTTCAGCTATTCCTACGACATACAACAGTGCATAGAGCTAGCATTCAGAGGCTCCCCTGAAAGTATCAGGGAAACTTCAAGGGTTGGTCAGTGCTACAGGAATATAAAAAGGCATCAGAAAGCCTATGTGTCATGTAGCATACAGTTTTCTGGGGGGAAAAAAATTCAAAAAGAAAATGTTGTCCACTAGTGGCTGGGACAAGGAGTTAGGTGTCAAAGGTGTGATGGAGTTTACCTGTTTCCCATATTCAATTCGTTGTCTGGACTCCTCCAGCCATTACCAGCAAGGTTTCAGGCTGCCAAATTTATGGGGATCAGGAATGATCACAAGTGTAGGACTATCTTAAGAAAAAAGAAAAAAGAGAGAAGAGAAAATACAGAAAAAAGAAGATCAGCTCCTGGCAGGTTGCTTA